TTCTGCCCCACTCCCTCCCTCACTGTGGGGGCCTTGATCTGCCCACCCCCCAATGCCCCTTCCCTTCCCCTTACCTGCTGTGGCTCCGCATGCCATCTGGCTGCAGTCCTGGCTACGTGCAGGCTTCCTGTCTGTGCACACCACTCCCCCCAGCCCCTGCTGCTGCTGCCTGGAGCCCATCCCTGGGCTGCCCTGTGGCCCTTTGTGCTGCCCCACCTTAGAGAGGGTTGAGCCCCGTTAGCCTCCACCTTCCACAGCTACTCCTAGGTCATCCCTGACCGATGCTCATCCAGCTTTCTTGAACACCTCCACTGATTCCACAACCTACCTAGGCAGTCTGTTCCAGTGCCTCACTGTTCTAACAGTGAAGAAGTTTTTTCTAATATCCACTCTAAACTTATTTTGCTGCAATGCCAAGCCATTGGTGTCTTGCTCTTTGCAGATAGAGAGAAAAGGCATTCTCCCTCGTCTTTATGGCAACCCTTCAGATACTGAAAGGCTGCTGTCATGTCCGTCCCCCCCAAGCACTTTTTCTGCAACCTATTTCCTTCAATTGCTTGTTACATGGCTTGCTTTCTAAGCTCTTTGTCATTTTGATGCCTGCCTCTGGACCCTGATGCTAACCTTAGTGGATAACCACTAAGGAAAAGAGTGTCATTAATTATAAATATAATATTTGTAGAGCATACTCCCTGCTAGTGGATTACTAATGGATGTTGAACTGTCCTGTCCCTGATGGAGCCAGGGTGCCACTTAATACCAGTTGTGATGGTGCTTTTTGAATGAGATCATACAGCCACCAACTCATTTGACATGGTACTTGCAATAGTCCCCAGATGGTAGCAAATTTTGGTTAGTTCCAGTGCAGGCTGGAATTAAACCAGTAACCTCTGATGTGTTGCCCATCATGTGCCCTCCTTTCTCCTCACTAAAGGCTATTAACTATTATTTTAGGTGGGGCATAAATCAGCAAGAACATAATTTCTTCAAAAATAAAGTTATTGTTTTTAATGGATGCCTCTGGAAACACAAAGAGAAATATGTGAGTTAGGGAAAGATTTATAGAAGTGAAGTTATACCCCTAAAGAATGTTTTCCATGAAAATTCAAATGATTTTAATGTACAAAAGATTCTGAGAGAGACAATAAAAATATATAGTAGAACAGGGAAAGTGGAATTATATATCAGGTTTCATGACTTAGCATCTCCAATGTCAACAAATTATACCAATAAAAGCCTGATAACAGGCTTTGTGGGAGAGAGGTCAGTTTCTAGGTCTAAGGTAAAGGAAGTTCTTTGTAATATAGTTGACAAGGAGCCAGGCTCACATTGTAGTCACTGAAGATTTTGTCAGCTTAGAGGGGAAAAGCAAATATATTTTTATAATGTTCTGTTCCTCAGGCCAAACTCAACTCCCATTGAAATCAATGGCAGTTTTGCTACTGACTGCAGTAGCAGCAGGCTTTGGCCCATGGTGTGTAAAAGCCAGAATGAACGTTGAAAGAAGCAAAGCAAGTAAGCATTGGAGGTTATTTTTCTTTGAATGTGACTCCAAGTGATAGACTGTAACATGCTCCATAGGTGAGTTTCTCTACCTGGGCAGTTGTAGGCCACAGCACATTTATGCTGTTCTAGAGAAGGGAAGATGATATTTAAGTGGGAGAAAAACCATTTAAAAGCTTACTGTCCTGGTACATTATTGATTTCATGGTAGCCAAATAAATTAGTTGTACTCAAAAGAATCTTAGGCCCAGGATGAAAGTTCATTGAAGTCATTGGAAAAATTCTTGATTTCACTGAGAACTGGATGGGAGGCTGGCCTTCTGGAAATGCCAGAGCGTCTGTTTAAGTGCAGTCAGGGCAGTTGGAAGTGAGGGTGTTCAGTAAGGGTACAGGCAGTTAAAATGTTTGTATCTATATCAAATTATACCATTTTAAGCAGAATGTAGCCAAAGCACTGGAGCTTTAAGCTTGTTACATTTTAGGGTCAAAGAGAATTTTAACTAAGCTGCTTGGCTACAGGAGCATGCAGACATAAGCCTTTACAAGTGATGCTCCCTCCCCAGCTACAGCTCCCCTTTTAAAAGTTGTGTTTGTCCATAGCCTGACTTACTGTACTCAGACCCTTACCTCGTCGTGACACAGTAAGAATAGTTGTGGGATTAACATCCACTTGAAATTCTGAGGCTGCTGACAGATGTTGAATGAAAGGTGCAGTTCCAACAATCGTCTTTCCTGCCATGCGTCACATACATGGCAGGAGGTGCAATTGTGGGGTTGAACATCAGCTCCTAAAATGCCATATTGTTGGTGTAGGGAGCACCCAGGATCATAGTTTACCAGCAAGTAACAAACTTGGCTTCCTGCACTCCCCTGGCTGGGAGCCACTCATCAGCTGAGCAGTGCTCCCAGCCTCTGGAGCACACAAGTCTTGAAGGGCTCTGGTGTGCTCTGGAGACTGGTAACACTGGCTGGACATTCAGTTAAAGGTGTGAAAGGAACCAGCCACAAAGTTATTACACGTTTTATGTAATAACTCTGGCTGCTGACAGATGTGGGGGAAAAAAACAAACAAACAGCACTTTACTGGAAAAGGAAGCATGTCAGTTGGACCCGGCTCCCCAGTGTCTATATAGATCATGTGCTTCAGCAGGGCTTTTTGGCGCTTTTATCTAATAGCTGATTTATCAGGGTGCAGTCTATACAAACAGTGGGCAAGCTGGGTCCATCTAACATGGTGCCTCTTCTGGGCATATGCTGTGCTTGGTGCAGGGACCCACCAAGTAAAGCACTGTTTTGTTTTAGGTTTTTTATTCATATCTGTAAGCAGTCTTTGTGGCTTATTCCTCATTTTATTACATCATTAATTGAATGAACATATGGCCAGGTCACTATATAAGATGTGATTAACCAGTTAAACATATCTTAAGTGTAACATCGGTCAGGGGCCTGAGTCTGTCTGTCTGTCAAATGAGCACTCATCAGGAGCTCACTGGAAAATACATTGGCCCTGAGAGCATTGAAAGACATGCACTCAGTATGACAGAAATGCAGTTGCACTGAAAGACTGTGGGCAGATGAAATGTTAAAATGCTATTTGGTGTTAAAAACTACATTTATGGAACCCCAGAAACTACGTTGCACTTGAAGTGAAACGCAAAATACTGAGCATATGCCTTTGACCAACCAGCTCATTCTAATGCAAGGGCTTTTAAATTCTGTGTTGAGTCTGTTGTGGGTGGCAGCTCTTGGCACTGAGGCCAGAAACAGCCATTCTGTTTGAAGTGCTTAAAGTGCCTGTGAAGCACTACATATAGTGCAGACTCTCACACCTGATGGAGTGCTTCAGAAATGGCTGGCAGTTCAGGAATGACGCTTGGAAAAAAGAGGAGCATCTCTGAGGCTGACAATAGCTTCTTTTAGTTCTCTGAGCTAATGTCGTTTGCTTCCTGCAGGAGAGACCAAAACCAAAAATTCCTATACAGCATTTCAGAGAGGCAACCCCTCCTTTCATTATCTGTGTAAAGATGGTGAGTACACTCTGTGACTTAACATCATGTGCAAATTATCTGTCTGGCACTTAAGAATGTAATGTTGTTTTTATTTATAAACCACATTTTTTTCAGAGGATTTTAGTTAAAACCTAGCTTAATAAGCAGTGGCCTTTTGGTCATATGGTTGATGGAGATTGTTTCAGGGAATGAATGTGTTGGAGTAATATCAAGGTAGTAAAAGGAAGGACATTTTTAAAGGATCCCAAACCTGTTCTGCATTTTTGCCCTTCAGTTTTATCCATCCAAAATTGCACCCCCCTCCTTTTTTTATACCCAAAATGCAACAGTCATAAGTGTTGGTACGCATAAATGAGAGGGGAGGAGAGGGTCTTGGTTGTATAAATCAGGTGCTTTCAGTCATCAGAGGCAACGCTGCCCATCCTGACAATTCTTTTTTTGCCTGGCTACTGTTGTGAGGTTAACACTGCATTTCATTTCCCTTTCACTCAAGTTGGCCGGACGATATAAGCATTAAATTTTCAGTTGTTACCTTAAAATAAAGGCATAAGTAGGGAATAGCACAAAAGCATAAGATTGTAAACCTGAAAGGAAATGTACCAGAAACGCACTGTAAATACTAACTCTATGAAAGTGACTGAAAACTGCAACTGAATCTACATATTTAAAAACCACACTGGCAGGCTTCCCACATATAAATAAGTGAAGGTGTTTAAATCCCTTCTATTTTGTGATTGTTAGCTGAAGTCCATCTCCTTCCTCACCTTAGCCCCCTAAGCATGGGGTCACTTCAGAGACAATAATTTATGGTTGTAAAATCAGACTGTGAGTACCTTGGGGCATTATCATGTACTGCAGACAGTTGGATAATAAACTAACCTAGTAATATTGCAACTAATTTAATTTGTCATACTAAATGTAATGGGGGTGGAAGTCCCAAGATAAAACATCTGTATAACCTGTTATAAAGCACATCTAATTTCTGAACCTTTGACAATGAAGCTATTGTACAACACCGTGTTTGTGCTGAAAACTCCGGAACATGATTTCAGCTGTAGGTTCACAGTTGTGGCAGGCTAGTAGGGGGTGCTCCTGCGCTGAGCTACCCACCTTACTGCACCCAACCACTTCCAGGCTCCAAGTCCCTCCCTGGGGGCGCCTCACTTCTAGCCAACCCCTTTCCTGGAGCACACCCGCTAGCCTGGGGGTAGTGCCGCCACCACCCAGGGTCTGGAGTGATCCTGGCTCTGTGCCCCCTGGGAAACACAGGCCTAGTAGCCTTTGAGGGTACTCGACCCACTTCAAGACCTTGGGATGCTTCCCTCAGCCTGAAGCACAAACAGTGGTCTCCCTTAGTCAGCCGAACCAAGGGGACCCCAAGGCATAATCTAGACCCAATTCCAATAAGTCTCCCAACACTAGGTACAAAGGAGAACTTTATTGGCTACAAGGGGTAGGTTTGGAATAGGGTACAGGGTTGAGCAATATCAGAGAAATCCCATAGAGCAAACACGTTGGCTGGGTAGCCTTTGATCATGCATCTGAGGTACTGCAAGCTGTATATCTAGTTAGATCTCAGGTAGCTCACTCACAAGTATCATCCAAAGGCAGGTGGAGATTCCCACTGGAGGCAGGCAGTTCATTGATCGTGAGATTCAAGAGAGCAAGTTTCAGATGATCCAGCTCTTCCCTGAGTTTTCATCATGGCTACTGCCCTCCTCCTGGAAAGTTCTTAACTTATATAGACTGTATGACCTCATTTACCTAGTCCAATTGAGGCCAGCACCTGTTGTCTGCCAGCCAACCAATTTGAAATGTATCACTGGTTGCTGGGTAGACTGGCAGGGTCTCTAGCCCCCTCCCAGTCAGATTGTCATTGCTTAGAACAATAGGGAGTATAAGCCCCTCACTCAGGCATGTGATGCCAGTCACATAGGCAGAGGGAGCAGGTTTCTCCCTGCCTCAGGAATGTATCCAGCTCAGGTTACCTGAAGAGATGGGATGTCTGCCCTCTGCAGGGCCCATATTAAAAAGAATTGTCACAGAGCAGAGTTTTTGGGGAGACAGAGGTGGCATTCTGCCACAACAGTACTTTTCATTCTTTATCAGTGAGTGTATTCAGTATGCTGACCATACTGCATGGCATGTCATCTGCAAAAGAATCCTCAACATTTTGGGGCCACAGTTTGACTGACTTGAACTGGCTGGGATCTTTGCAAAGTGTCCTCAATGTCTTAAGCAGCTCTGTTGATGAGAAATTAATTGGTGCCCAATGCCAAGAGGCTGTAGCCAAGTTGTGTGAAGTTTCTCTTGTCTGAAGGGAAAAGCCTTCAATTCACCGTTGCGCTTCAATGTCTGAACTTCCCTGTAGCCTGTTAACATCATGGCTGTTACAAGAGCTGGTGTCATAAGTGCAGTTAACACAGAGGCAAAGAAAGAAACTGCTGCCCAGTGCCCAGGTTTCTTGCGACATTAGTGATACAAGAGAATAGAAGAGTGGCTGAATGTACAAGGGCAATATTGAGAATAAGAGGGCTTCCCGTCAGCTTTGTATCTTAATAAGACTTAAATGATACTTCTGTGGGGCCTACCTTCCTAGGACTTTAAAGAGATTTTTATACAATAATAGCTTAAGCCTGTGTCATAAAGATGTACTGCTGTACATTTTAATTATGTGAAGACTAAGGACCTGAAAGCTTATGGACAACAGGAACTCTCTGGCAAAGCCAAAAATTGAAACTCAACTCTCAAGTCCTGTTATAACTTGCATTAGAGCAATGCCTGGAGTTCCTGATTGAAAAGTGCCAGCCTCTGTACAAAGCTACAGCAAGAGAAAATCCTCAAGGAGCATAAAACCTAGCTGACCAAGACAAGAACAACAAAAAAAGGTCAGGAAGAAACAGAGGCAGAGAGCTAGAGTGATTTTTCCAAGTTCACAGAATAGGTCATGGGTCTTCTGAGTCCCTCCAGAGACTATCTTCTGGACCATTCTGATTCTTGCATTTTCTGTTGTCTCTCCATGAGCATATGCAGGCTATCTTTAGGTAGAACTCTTTTAGCAAGCCCTCTTTCAGGTGCTGAGACACATACTGCAGATTCTGTTGGTGTGAAAACCTCCTGACAGAGGCTGGATGAATTGGTATAAATTGAAATCTCATTCTTACTGGCTGTGGCTGGATTGAAATGGCCACACCTTTGAAAAGCAGGTTTTAATCTGCCCTGGAAAGCAGCCTACCACCAAAGGCAAAACAAACCCGTAAGTAGTTGTGGTTTAAAGTGTTCAGGTCTCCAAAATGCAGAAGGCCTCAAACTGTAGGCCTTACCACTAGAGGAAATGGTTTCTGAACCAGCTGAAACTTGCAGAGAAGCTGAACTTTCATTGATCTGCGGTGATATTGTGCAGACTAAGTATAAAGCCAAGAGTTCAGACATGACTGTATTTTTAGATGGTTGAACTTGCCTTGTTTTCTTTGCAGCCCACATCTAAAAAATGAGCTAAACAAAAACCTTCCCCATTGCTACTTATTCACATCCCCCAGCATGTGCTGTCACATGTGATCCTCTACTGGTGCAACCAATATAGTTAGAAATGACAAGGCAACCTGCTGTTGTACAGCTCATCAAAACCAAACTGTAAGCAAACTGTAAACTTGTTGCAAGTGCCAGGAAAATGGAGATATAATTAATCAGTGCTGGAAGTGAGAAGGCAAAACACTGAGAGACATTAAAGTTGTTTTTTTCTGTCATCAAGGACACTTGCCTTGGTGCTTATAACTCAGAATCGGCAATTGTGCAAAATGAGTGCTGTTTTGATGAGTCAAATTCTGAGAGGTGAATTACACGACGAAGTATGAAGCAACTGTCCCCACTTGGCACAAGTAATTACCAATACATCTTGTTTAATACCATATTTTCTGGCATACAGCACCCCCCAAGAATAAAATACTCACCTGCAGGATCTCTGGTAGTGACTGATGTGTGAGGAGAAAAGAACCCAACGGACTTTTAGATCCCAGTCTGAATGGGCAGGCCTGGCTGGGG